GGGGTCATTTGAGCCCAGTTTTCTTCCTGCCCAGGCAGGGGGTCGGACCTGAAGATCTGCAAGGTCCCTTCCGACCCTATTTCTATGATTCTATGATTCTATGAATCCTTATTTATAAAAGAGCTAATTACTCCAGCTTCAGCTCATACAGTGGAGAGCAAGGAAGTCCCAGGTCCTGGGGGAGTGCTCTAATTGCCAAACTACTGGATAAAGTAGGGAGAACGCCCAGCAGCACAGCCTCCTTTGTTCTGCGCAGAGTTGTATTTGCCAGGTATCTTCTGAGAATACCACCAAGATCAGAAACCGAAGATGAGACAGGCAAAAGAGAACCTAGTCTGTGGATCTTGTTGATGCACAGGTGCAAGATAGGTGCCAACTCACTCAGCACTAGCCAGACTGAGGTGCTTCTGAGCATGCCCAGGAATGGAACGTTCAGCACCGAGAAACTTTACCACTGGAAACCTTGACGCCCACAACCTCAAGCCTTCCGGGGTTGGTGTCAGCTCAATGGGAGTTTTAAGGGTCAACATTTGGGGGTTAGGCACCTAAACTGACACTTAAGGTCCCTTTGTGGATCTTAACCGTATCCCCATATGCTTCTTCTGTGAGCAAAAATGAGAAATAAGTGATCAATGGGATTTGCAAGTGGGTCAGCTGAGCATTAACAGAACCCCTTACTGAAACAGAAGCATATAAGTACACAAGGTCCTGTCTCTGGATCAAACCAGGAAAGAGAAGCAAGCAATGAACTGTCCTTCAAAAAGCGCCTCTATCTTTAGGGTCGTCATCTTTTCCAAACATCCAACCCCCAACTGCAATAATTATATCTGCACTACTAGTGATATAAATAAACATCTATCTGAAAAAAAATTACAAATTTGCCATATCTATTGAGCCAGGGATATACTTCAATGATTTGCACTGTCATGATGATTCAACTAAAATGTTCTTATGCAGAATACCATGCAGAAAATAACTCAGTATTCTAATACAAATAAACACAACTTTCATGTACTGTTATTGATGCAATATAAAACCACCTAGGAATACAAACCCCCCCACTTTTTAAATCAATATATTGAACAGTGGTTCATAGTACAGGTGTTTTGAAATACACACTGCATATACTGATGAAGTCAAGACTTTGATCTGTGTCACATTTTAGGAATTAGGATTCTTACTACTTCAACTGCTTCTAACTCAGCACTCTTTTACCTCAGTCAAACCCAGTAGAAGCTCAAATTCTGAAGAAGTGTCATGTTATTATTCTTTTGGAACCGTCACTCCAAAACCCTCAGTTCCTGTCTGGTCCAGGTAGAAACCAGATGGTTGTCTGTCTTCCTCCAAGTCTTCCCTCCTAATTTTTAACTGAGCCTAAGTTTAAGTTCCACCATGCTGTGATACCAGGAAATTGGCTGGGATAATATAGCAAAGGATCAAAATTTTCAAACATAATTAAAAAAGAACTGGGCAAACAAGTAAAAAGAACTTGTGTTCTCCTAAGTGCTCAGTATTTCTGAAATCAGACCATTTCTTTAGGTGCCTAAAATAGGGAGTTAGGCACTATTTTTTTTTATGTTGGTCATGTTGTGCATATCTCGAGTGAAAATCCATACTTTCAACCATAGCCCAACCACTACAGCTTGCCAATATCTTCCAGGCCGAGAAGTAACAGAACAACCTTAACAGTAGTACCTGGGTCTCCCATTTGGTAGGTTATAAAACAACCATGATAAGTACCTCTTAATTTATAGGTGCCATTTGGGGGCCTCTGGAAAAAAGAGTGGATTTTCCTTGTTTGGCTCTTGACACAAAGTCTACATCACAAAAAACAACATCACCCTTTACATTATTTTGTCAACGTACTTCCGCCCACTCTGTTGATAGTCTAAACAGAAAAGGCAGTGACTAAATATGCACGAGAGCAAAACCAGCCTGCCAGATTATGAATGAGATGTACTGAATGTAGCAGTTTCTACTCCCTGTAAATCTCTTTAAATAAACAGTATTTCACCCCCCACCCCGAACAGAAATAGTCTGATACTTTCACCTGTACAAAATTCACTTGATATGTTTTTATCACAACGTCACATCAGTGTGTGATTAACAGTCCACTGTTCCCTTGTGGAAAAGGTAGTTAATGTTTCACTACATTAACGTACAGTACAAGTACATGAGCTGTCCCTCTGGAGTTGTATTTTGATCCATCAGCTAAAATTTTTCCACCTGTACAATAAAGCTGCTTTTCCTTCTAACATAACAAATTAAAGTTCAATAGCATTAATCGAAATTAATTTAAACTGTAAAATTAAAATAAAAATATTTTGGGGGATATACTTCTTACTAAAAATCACAAGGAGTAATTACAACAGAATTTTTACCAGAAACAAGGAGCAAATCTGGTTAAGCTTTCATACATCTTCAAGACAGATAGAGAGATGCTATCTATGTGAACACAAAGGAAAATAGCTTTGTGGCAGTGGTTGGGGGACACTGCAAGATGCAGAGAAAATTATGACAATGACGGTAAGAAATTACCAAAAATACATGAGCATTAAACACCCCCCTAGAGGAGCTTGATCTCTTAGAAGCACTATTTCACATTGTGATGTTCACAGAATCAGTCTTAACAGGCAATATTAATTACCTACTTGGGACAGAAATGGTCTCCCTTCCCCACTCGTTTCTACGGTGACAGGAAGACGGTGGTTACACGAGGCAGCGAAACTCCAGGCAGCAAGATTCTGGAGGTGACAGTTGGGAAAGTACGGTAGGGAGAAGCAGGAAGGACGGTGGGAGAGGCGTTTAATTTCAGGTCTCCAGTAGGTCTCCGGGTGAGCACTCTAAGCTGAAATATATCTCCTTAATTTTAAAAGAACAAATATGCAGGGAAGATTCCAGTCAGCAGAGGAAGTGAAAAGGAAACCAAAAGACATGTGACTACTAAACGAAAAAGTAACAAAAGAAAAGTTTTATCAGAACAGAAAGGAAAAGAAAAATTGTAATTTAAACCATAAGAGCCTTTGAGGTGCTAACAACAAACCTTGTAACATAAAAGAGCAAAAAACAAACAAACAAAAATTTTCTGAGCCAGTTCAAAAGCAAGAGAATAAAAACACACCCTCTGACCACAAACTCTGCAAGGAACAAATGAAGAATGATTCATTACAAAATTGGTAACATAATACATCAAATGGAAAAAAAATCTCTGTTTTATATAAAATGTCCATTTGATTTTAACAAGATAAGAGCCTTCCAATGTAGATGTGATCAGCCATGTCAGTCTGAAGTCAGGCAGAAGGTAGGGCAAGGTGGCACCTTAGAGACTAACTAGTTTCATAGATTCGTAGATGCTAGGGTTGGAAGGGACCTCAATAGATCATCGAGTCCGACCCCCTGCATAGGCAGGAAAGAGT